GCCAGAGGTGGTGCAAGCACCTACTCTGGATTCCTTTAAGAGACATTTGAACGTTTATCTTGCTGGGATCCTTTGACCCCGTCTGACTTCCTGTCCCTGGGGCAGGGGGCTGGACTCGATGATCTCCCGAGGTCACTTCCAGCCCTAATGTCTGTGAAATCTATGAAATCACCTTAACTGGAGAGCCAGCACTCTCCATTCTGTCATACTATCCCTCCATTAACTTATCCCAACTCTTTCAATCTTTCATAACTAAGTCAGCTGTGAGCTCCGCTTCATTCTCCTGCTGTTGAATATAGGTCTTTCCAATTTCCACCAGCTCTAGACAGCAGAGCTCTTCTTCTGATCTCCTAGTAATCCATGTGAGGGATCCTGGACTTCCAACAGTTGCTCTTCAGAGAACACACCAGATATTCTTACCCTGAGATCATCCATGGTCAATGTTTTTCCAACCTCTTCTTGAAAATCTCACATGAAGGATATTCTGCCACATCCCTAGGCAGTCTAATCCACTGCCTCACTGTTACGAACAATGAAGATTTTTTTTTCCTGATGTCCAGCCTAATCCTACTTTGTCACAATTTTAGACCATCACTATGCATCCTATTGTCTGCAATGACAGAGAAAGAGGTGTACTCACTCTTCATGACAGACCTTCAGATATTTGAAGACTGCTATCATATTCCCTCTTAATTGCCTTTTCTACAAGATAAACATGCCTATTTCTTTCAGCTTCTTATATGTGGGAATCTACTGAATTCACAGTGGCTGTCTGCTGATTTTGTGGACAGATTGCAAGACCTGGCAGCCATTTTGTGGGTGGAGCATTGTGGGGCCCTTCATGCCTCTGGCTGAGGCCCCCCACTGGCCCTCACCCCTCACCACTGATTGGCTGGTGAGGGCTGTCTGTCATGCGGCCCTGCCCCTCATTGCTGATTGGTGGAGAGGGACGGAACCAAATGGCAAGCAGCCCTAGCAGACAACCAGGGGCAAGGGGCAGGGGCAGCAGCCATATTGGCAGCAGCCTTTCAAGTGGGCAGCCTCCTTTCCCCACCCTGGTGAACTGCTGCAACACCTTGAGGATTGCTGGCTTTCTTCGGGGAGCCAGCATTTTATTTCCAGTGAGTTTTCTGTTTTTTCTCCTGTGGATTTCACAGGTATTGCTCACTTTTGCAGGCAATGCTGGATTTTGTAAAATCTGCAAAATCATAATTTCTGTAAGTCTTTATCTATATGGCTTGCCTTCCAAGCCCTTCATGATTTCTGTTTCCTGCCTTTGGCCCCTCATTAATTTCTTCATATCTTTTATAAAGTGTGGAAGCCAAAACTGTGCACAGTATTCTAGATTAGGCCTAATTAGTGCCAATTAAAGAGGGATTATCACCTCCTGTGTCTTTGTAACAAGTAGGTGTCTTGGGACCAATCTCAATACAGGCTCACCCACTGGTTTCTGGGCTAACCACCTGCCCATCTCTCCTGCCACGCCTTGATGTACTGATTATCTGATGTTAATCAGGCAGAAAGCTGCCCTTTACCTGCCCTGGTGACAAGGGCCTCTGTACACTCTCCAACCTCCCTTTGACATGTCCCATGCCTCACAGGCGTTTCCTGGCCTAACACCCTGCCTCATCATCATCTCTACATATACTGATCTCCCAGTCCTCTGCCTCCAGGCCTCGTCCTCATGCTTCAGCCCCCATCCCCAGGCCACAAGCCTCTCCCAGCTCCAAGCCCTGTCCCCAGGCTCCAAGCCCTATCCCCAGGCACCACCCACTCTGTATATCTTTGGGCCCCAGGCCCCCACACTGGGCTCCAAGCCCCCCACAATGGGACTAGGGCTACAAGCCCCATCTCTCCTCGAGCCTAACACCTCACTCCATAATGTGCTTAGGCTCTGCTGTGAAACTGGGTGCTGCCACAGGTCAATCCACCTGGCCTGGGCCCTGCCTCACTGCTTGCAGTGAGCCTGGTCTCCCCCTGTCTCAGGTTTCACCCACCAGGGATGTGGGGGCTGGGGTTTTCAGATGCCCCTACTTGTCTTTCAGGGAAGTAACTGGTCTTGCATTTCTGGGGAGCTACCCCACCACAGGTAGCACTACCACACCTCCCTTCCCTATCAGGGTGCAGTTTTAGGTCACGCCCAGGACCATGAGGCCTCCTCCTTCCCCATAGCCCCAGCCCTTACCCCCAAGTTGTTCCAGGCAGCAGCCCAACCAGATGTTGCCTCCTCAGCTGGTAGCAGCAAACTGCTGCCTTGTAGTTCAGGGACCCAGCCCTTATATAGTTTCATATGTTCCTCAATCAGGCATCAGTGCCTGACTGGGATTACAGCCAGCTGTAGGCTGCCTGGCTGCTGCCTAGGCCTCTGTAGGTAAGAGAGCACCCTGTGCTGTTACAGTCTTACATCTAAAGCTCTTGTTGATGCCACTCAAAACTACATTTGCCTTTTTTACAGCTGCATCAGCCTACAGGTTCATGTTGTGTATGTAATGCACCAGGACTCTTAGATACTTCTCTTCAGTGCTGCCATTCAGTTCATTTTCACCCATTTTGTATTAGTGTTTTTGATTATTCTTCCTGAGGTGTAGCACTTTGCACTTGTCAGCACTGAATTCCATCCTACTGACCCCGGCCCAGCTTCCCAATTTATCAGAATTTTTCTTAATTGTGCTCCTGTCCATCCATTGTTTTTGTAATCCTTCCCAGTTTTGAATTATCTGCAAGTTTGCTCAGGGGAGCATCAGGCCCAGTAATAAGATTTCTAAATGTCATTAAGTTCCCAGAACAGCATTTATGTAACTGGAAAAGTGCTATTTGGACATGTCAACTGAAATAGTATTATGTCTTTAGTACAGATATTATTGCTCAGCCATATAAAATTAACAGCTGTTTTTCTTTTCCCTTCCTAATGTTTTCCTTCATTGCTCTCCCCCCAATCCTTTCCAGTCTTTCTTCATCTCGTCTCCCTGTGTCATCCTAGAATCAGTGAGATCTTAAATATCAAGTCCATCTACCCACTGGACCTTTCCCAACATATCTGATATGCAGATGCAACAGTTTCTCTCATGTTTCAATTACTAGAGTGTCAGTACCTGACCATCAATAACTTCCTAACTTTGGATTCTCCCTGAAGTCCAAGTTGTTTCTTGCAGCTTCCCATGCTCACCTCCACAGAGAGCTTCTTTCCCAAAGCGAACAAGAGGGGATGCATGTTGAGATCAGGGTCCTTGCGGAAACAGTTTGGCTTAGCATGATGCTGGTTGTGCAGATGTTTCCACCAGCTGGCTGATCCCCCCTGCAAGAAGGGAGACCAGAGGTTACAAACAGTGCTGCCTGAAGAGAACACTTTCAGGCATCATGGTTTCTCTCCCCATGAGAGTTACACCCTCCTCACCTCCCTGGTGTATTCAGGTTGAAGTCCCTCAAGGAGACATTTCTGACTTCCAAGTGACCCCTCCCCTTTTTAATCAGTCCTTGAAGCTCCAGGGAACACTCTCTGGGGTAGGTACTTACCTGCAGAAAGCCCATCACAAAGTGGCTACCCAAATGGTTCCATTTGGGCTTGCTGAAAACTGAGAGGTGCCCCAAATCATGCTGCAGAAAACCATTTTGGACCTGGAAAAGAAAAGGAATCATCAATAAAAAATAAGAGTTATAAAATAAAATGAAAATTTAGAGAGATGTCTATTTTCAACATACTCAATCACGGTGGCTCTTCTCCCATGGTGCTGTCTCTGCCTCCTTCTTCCACCCTCCCTAACCACCATCCCTCTAGTTCAGGGGTGGCCCGCAGGCAGCCTCTGTATGTGGCCCATGACAGATAAGGGAAGGGAAAGGCAGCATAGCAGCATATAGAGAAGAAGCAGAAAATATAGCAGTAGATCATGCAGGAAGCATAGGGCAGGAAGCAGAAATCATACCAGCAGAGCGGACAGGGAGCAGGACAGTAGATCGGGCAAGTGAAGGGGGTCAGAGTGGTACTCAGGGAGGGCATGAGGCTAAGTTGTGGCATGGCTAACTACTATTTTTCTTAGAAGGTAAGGGCTAAAGGGAGATGTCACTACAATGACTTTGACTTACGTTCTTTTACTGGAACAACTCTAACAGTGTGATTGCAACACAGGAAGTACATGGCTGTAGGAAAGCCAACAGCAAAAGGAGTAGGATTGTGACACTGATCCTAATAGGGTGGCAGAAAAGGTTAGCCACTAGCGATGTAGAATATACTGTGAACTTTACCATGGCAGTTGCTATCAGCACTGCTGAGATGACGAAAGGCACTGGGGACACTCCAAAGTACCAGAGGATGATCCAGCTGACAGCTTCAAGCAGCAGAATGTGCAGAAAATACAGGAAGAAGAAAAGACCATTGGGTTTCAGAAGTCCCATCTTCTCGACGGTGGCACGCAGCTCTTGGAAATCTTGTACCAGCAATTTCTGTGGGGAGAAACAGTGTTGAGATAAAATAGTATCAGCAGCCATTACACAGGGCAGAAAATGGCAAGGGGGAAATTGCATTCAGGGGGAGTTCCTTCTCTGTGTTTCAGTGGTTTGTGATATTTTTAGTTTCCAGGTACTGAGCAGGCTCAGTTGCTCTGACATGGCTCCTGGATCACCGTATCCTGCACACCTCATTCCTTGCTTACCTACTGAATTACTGTTTGGGTGTCTCATGTATTATAAACCTTCCATAAATGATGAAAACTGGATGGGGCATGGACTGTGGGTGATGGGAATCCCATACTGACTAGAGAGGGAAAGCTAATAAGACTAGTACAGTAAGCAAAAAGGGTAACATAGAAAATATATATGTCACTGTTGAGTTTGGCTTCTTTCTTCTTCATGTTGTGAAGTTTCCATTTCAAATGGCAAAATTTGATATCTTCCATGTTTTGGGGGTGTCGGTTGTAGCCATATTGACATGAAGAAGAAAGAAGACAAACTCAGCAGTGACATAATTTTTAAGTCTATGCAAGAAACACAATATCATTCCCATAGGACTCAACCTCCCCAGTCCTCTGACTTCACATTTTCACAGATCTGCATTTTGCATATTGGATTAAGCTTCTATTTAACCCTAGAGAGAGCACCAGCAGACTCTCCCTATGCCTGAAGAAGGGTGCCTGTCCTGTGCCTGAAAGCTTGCAAAGAACAATTTTTGCAACTATTCAGCTGGCCTATTAAAAGATATCACATTTATCCAAATAACCTTGTCTGAAAAAGTCTGTGGGCATTAAATGAATTGAAGGCTAGATGAGACTCAGAAGGGCAACACTATAGCTGCGTCTACATGACACGCTACTGCGCTGGGGTTATTGCACATTTATTTAGTACTTGTATAAACAGCTACTAAATAAATATGCAGTAACCCAAGCTACTGTGCAGTATCACCGACAATCACCTTTTTTGTGACACTATTGCTCAGTAGCCTAATACTACTGCACAGTAGCATCGTGTCACTGGTTTTGCCACGCGGTGTTACTATGCAGTAGTATCAGGTTACTGTGCAGTCAGCATCTCATGTAGACATGCCTTGTAGGTAGGTAATTGTCTACTGGGATGTATCTATAGAAGTGATTTTTCCACTCCAAGTAGCACTGATGGAGGCCTCACCTGAAGTATTGTACCCAATTTTAGACACTAGATTCAAGAAAGTTGTGGAGAAATTGGAAACATTGAGAAAAGAGCCACAAAATTACTTAGAAGTGGAGTAAACATGACATACAAGGAAAGAGAGAAAGATCTGAGTTTTAGTTTAGAGAAAAATGAGAGGGATTTCACAGCCCATTGTACTGAACTCTAATACAAAAAGAGTTTCAGAAAAGACAGCAATCAGTTGTACCCTGTGATGAGAAGGGACGGAAGTAATAATATGCTTGCTTTTCAATAAGGGAGATTTTGATAAGATTTTAACAATAACTTTCTAAGTGTAAGACTGATTGAGCTTTGGAACAAACCCCCTAAAGATGTGGACTCTTCGTCATAAGAAACTTTTAAGTGCAGGTGAGACAAATATTTATCTGGGATGGTTTAGACAAGAACGCTAGTGCCTTGAGCATGAAGTTGGACTAGTTGAACTTTTGAAGTCCCAACTTCCATATTGTCCTGTGATTCCATATTCTCTGCTCTGGTTGTACAGCACAGCAGCCTTCAGGAGAAAGGTTTTCTCCATTTACCATTAGATAAGCCTATATACCCTGCTTACCTTAGAGACTTTGGAGATACTCTGTGGGAAGGGAAGACCTGATCCATTTTGTTTCCCAGGAATTCTTTCTGATTCTGGCTAGGTGACATGGCTGATGCATTTAGCTCACTTAGAGGGGTCACAGTTTCATAGTTTCATAGTTTCTAGGGTCGGAAGGGACCTGAGCAGATCATCTAGTTACACTATGACTACTCCATTCTTTTAAATTAAGTTTGCTACAAGGTAGAGGAAAGTACAATCCCAAAGGGCTCTTTTCCCAAAGAAGGGACTATGACACCAAGAAGCAAGGAACTGTGTTGCATCTGAGAGTCCTGGGAGCCAGCAAATGAATACAAACCCATATGAACAATATTTAGCTCCTGCTCACCCCTCCTTGGGGCCCTGGCCTATATCCATGCTACAGGACACTCACGTTTTTGTGGGGCTCAATGCTGGGTTGATCCGGTGCCAGCTCCCCGATCAACAATGGCATCATGTACTTTCTCACCAGTGCCTTGTCAAGATGGAAGGCCACAAAGGCATCCTGCAAATGTGTGAAGGATTAAAGTGAGAAAACCGCAGACCAGGGAGAAGAGTATTTAATACTTTCATCAGTTTCAGCATATGGGAACCATAGTTGTTTTGTGCCTGAACATATTTTTGTACTTAAACCCTAATAAGGGCTGTTTCAAAGATACAGTTAATCAGTAGGGGTGTGTGAAGCAGGCCCTATTTGATTTGGATTTGGATTCGGCCCGAATTGGGGACAGTGATTTGATTAGTTGATTTGGATCGCTGTCCCTGATTTGATTTGGCTGAATCCGAATCTGAAAATTCGATGCTGATTCAGAGAATCAGCATTTCAGACACAGACCCAGACCCAGACCCAGACCCAGACCCAGACCCAGACCCAGACACAGCTTTAAATGGTTTTTGTACATACCTCAAGATACCAGCACGGCATGTGAACGCTGTGATGCTGGGGCGCATGGAGGTCCCACAGGAGTGCAGGGGGCCCTCAATGTGCTTGGCGGTGAACCCAGAAGTGGAATGGAAGTATTTCCAGTCTACTTCTGGGTCTGCTGGGGACTGCATGGGCCCCACCCCCCCACTCGGGGATCGGTGTGTGTGTGGGGATGCCCCCCTGCACCCTCCCTGGTGGACCCGGAAGTTGACGAGAAGTGCTTCTGGTCCACTTCCGGGTCTGCTGCCGCGTGTGCTGGGGACCCCCCTGCGCTTCTGTGGGACGCTTCATGTGACCCAGCATTGCAGCATTCATGAGCTGCACTGGTACCTCGAAGTATGTAGAAACAACATTTAAAGTTGTGTCTATGTCCAAATCACCAAATCTTTCCGGAAGGTTCTGATTCAATTCAGAGAGATTAAAGGGTCCTTTGATTCAGTTTGGATTTGGAAATTTGGCCACCAAAGCGGACCAAATCAAACCAGGGACCGAAGCTTCGCAGCCCTATTAATCAGGTCTTTATTGGGACTCATACTTCTGACTTTGGGGATTATGTGAATAAACCATTTTAATTTCACTAATGCTCATTGGTGACACATAGGGGGTGCATGTCACCCCCCACCTCACCACAGACACCAACGGTGGTGTCTGCGTGTGGTCGCGGATCACTGCTGGCCACCATCGCCGCTGCCAGCAGTGCTGGCAGGTGGTCGCCAACCACTGGTCGGAGCTTGACACCCCTCCCCCCTCTCCACCGCCACCATCGTGGCCGCCTGCGGGAGCTCCCTGCTTGCCACTGTCATGCCCCTGCCGCTGCCGCTGCTGCTGCCACCTGCAGGTGGTTGCTGTGCCCTCCCAGCCTCTGGGGGCATGCATTGTTCATGGTAATGCTTATGCCCAAACTCTGGTACGTCCAGCTACACTTTGGCCATATCTATACATGCAATTAGTGTACGTGAATAAACCCTGGACCTTATTGCTTTGGCATTTTTTGCTCCCGGGCCTTCTGGGAGCAATGAACTCCAGAGCAATCAGCTCCTGGGTTTATTCATGCACAACATGTGTAGCCCAGTCGGGGCATCCCCAGCTAGCAGGGCACCCTGGGAGTCAGCTTGCCAGCCTATGGCTGCTCTAATCCGGCTCAGTGTGCTGCAGAGGGGCTGGCTGGGGCATGAGGGTGTGTCAGTGTGGGGCTAGGTGGCAGACAGCCCTGCACTGAAGCACCCTTATGCCCCAGGCAGCTGGGTCAGTGTCTATACATGTGCTGCTGTGCACAAAAAAAAACTCAACAGGAGGGTAGTATTTGTATTTACAAGTATTACCCTGCTGCAGAGTTTATTAGTTGCCTGTGCCATAATAGGGCTACACATGTAGACGTTGAGACATTTACTGTGGTGCTAATTAGTCAGCTCCACAGTAAACATCTCGTGTAGATGCGCCCTTCAGGGACTTCTCAAATTCTGTAGCTAACAATGGGTACTATCACATTCATCTCATCTGTGTGGCACTGCATCCAAAAATGAAAGAGAAAAGAAAGAAAAAAGGAAGAAAGAGCACATACCTAATTTTAGGCCCTAGCATATGAATGTAAATCATCACTGTTTCTTATATACAGTACATATTAGTGACAGTTTGCCCTCATCCTAACTTTTACTTCTTTAATTCAAGTGCTTTAATAGTGCGATCTGGGCATGAGAATGTACCTAATTTTATTACTGTGGCTTAGCTGAAATGCAGTGTGTTTTGTAGCTAGAAATATATGATGTATACAGTAACATGGTATGTGTGAATATTTTTTAATGCTGAGTTAGCATTAGCTTTCTCCGTGTTGGAATCTTAGATCTGAAACTTGTTGGTACAGGAAGAAACAAAGTTGCTCCTTGAATACTCACAATCAAGGTAACAGAACCATGTGATGGCAGTGTACTACATATTTTGTGGCAACCATTGGGATGAAATCATATCTGTTTTTTATGACTGCAAACAGAAACAAAAGGTGAAAAAGAAATTGAAGAAAGAGAGAGCAGATGGATGGAAAGAAATCACAGCAGGGGCTGGAATGAAGTATGCAAGATCCATGCAATCTGCTGTTACTTGAGTTGGGGAGCAAATGAGGAGAGAAAAACATAAAATAAAAGAAAGCAAAACTTTCTTCAATAATCTGTCACACAAGAGGCATTTCTCTGCATCTGTCAGACACCTAGGTTAGTACAGGACCATCCAGTCTCACCAGGAAACAATTTCAGGTAAGTTCACAGTGGATGATTGAACTGGTTCACCTGGACTCAGATGACTATGCCAGCAGTCAAAAGACTGCCCCAAAAGACTGCCATATGAGGGAGTTAATCTCCCTTTTCCATCCTATTTTTCACCTGAAGAACTGAAGTAATATAATGTTTGTCCATCCTGAAAAGGACTTTAAGATAAGGTAGAAATGGTAACATAAGTATTTGCCATTGTTATAATATTGTCATGGGTCCTGTTTCTCTGCCCTAGGACAGGCAGAGTTTGAGTAAGTCTGTGCACAGCATGTCGTTCCAAACAGCCACTCACACTTCAGACCTCATCACTATATTAATAATTAATGTAGGCAACCTTACAGTCATCTCCTCTCCTGTTTGCTCCTGTGATGGCTCTGGGGGTGGGTATCAGCATAGACTGAAGCTGGATGGGTCACCCCCAATACTGCTTCCTTCCTACATAAGTCAACATGTCTTCAGGACAGAATATGATCACATAAAATAGCTAAAATTAGAGGTTTCCATTTCTTACTTAAACAGTGAAGAGATAGTAGATATAAGAGTTTAAATTATGCTTGCAATGACCATTTTACCTCTTTGCTTATCAGTATTTATATATTACAATCTGCTACCCCACATTTTTTACAAGGATATGTTATGCTTTTATGCATGTTTAAGTTATCACAAAGAATATCTTCTACTGTTTTTCTTCATTTTTTTATACTTCCTCTAATTTTGGTGTCTGTATCTCTCCATCTACTATATTGTTTTGATGGTATTCTATGTTTTTATTTCCTACAGATGAAATTTAAAAATTACATCTGCCCCTTACATTGGGGCAAGCTATAATTGGACCCCTTACAGTCTTGACTTTGTAATTGCAGTATTTTTGTTTATTCAATAAAAATACCAAGTCAGATTTCTTTTTTAGTGTGGTTTTTATTTTATTATTTTTAGCACATTTAGACCTTTCTTTTCTTTCTTGGTTCCTTGATTCTCCTGTGGGACTTTTATATGCAAGGTTAACATTTAATAGGAACAGTATTTCTTGACTTTTATTTCTTGACTTTTTTGTATATAATGAATAATTTATCTTCTAATCCACAGTTCACATAAAACAGTGACATTAAGAAAACCAGGGTTCTCATCATTGAAGATACCAGAGTTTAGGTTATGATTGCAATCCTAATTCTACGTTCTTGCACATCAGTATTCTACATTATGGTTTGGAACATTGCATTTCTTAAAAAGATACCATATTATGTTTTTCTGCATGTTTATTTAAATGCATGTAGCCTCTTCTATTTTTCGTTCTTGTTCTATATTTGCACAAATTTCACTATCATCTGTACCTATAGTATATTGTTATGAGACCTTTCCCCCCTTCCAAATAATATTAAAAATTGCACTTGAGTTCTTTTTGGACTTGACCTATAAGTCAGGCCCCTTCAGCCTTGACTTTGTGCTAAAATACTCTCATTATTGTTACTGCAGGCACAAAACACTGCAAGTACCAGTCTGAATATTTGTATTTTACGAATATGTGCATTTAAACTTTGAGCCCTGCCCTTCGTTGCTTCTTTCCCTTGTGGAAGTTTTTAAGGGGAAAATCAGTTCATAACTATTGACTTATATTCAGGAAAAAAGGTCATTTTTTCTAAAAAAAAATTGTACATGAAATTATGAGTTTGATTTGTATGTAGGGACAACTTATAATGGGAAAATATTGTCTTTTTCTTGACTTTTTTATATATGGGGTGAGTAAAGTCTTTCTAAGCATAGCTCAAAGTCTTGTGCTATCTTGTCTACAAACAAATGTAGACATTTCTTTGCCTTATATAGAAAAGCTGCTTTCTGAGCTCTTCCCTCAGGATGGCTGGTAATCAGAATCCACTCTTATGCTTCAAAATGACATCCCATTGAGTGGTTGATAAAGCCCCTGCCTGTCTTCCCTATCCTCCTGTCTTTCCAAGGCTCATATCCTACCTTTCCTGAATTTCTTGCTGCCAGCATGGATTCCTGCCCTCCCTATTGGCTAAAAACTCTGGTGTCCACTGCTGAGACCCATTTGCTCTTACCGTGGCATCCTGCCCCGCGTAGTGGCTGATGACTCGGGACCCCCCTGGGTGCTGCCGATGGAATTGGCTGATGTCATAGACCTTCCTGTTGATCACTAGCCACCGCTCCTGTTGAGGATGCCCCTTGCCCATGTGGAGCCCAATGTCCTTCCAAGTGAACAGTTGTGGGGAGGAGATCACATAAGTCTGTGTTTCTTCCATCTTAGTTTAAATGGGTCTCAGCCTTTGGTATCATACACCCCAATTTTATTCTTGTTGCTCTTGTTGCATATTTAAATCCATAACAATTTAGCATTCCTGTTCTGCATCATCCACACGAGACATGACCCTACCTGTATCTTGCCCCTATGGCAAGTTCATTGGTTATTATGATTTTTTTTTAACTATGCGTCCTGGCACACTGTCAGCTTGCTGACTGCCACTGTTTTCCCTGGCACAGGGAGAGAGGCAAAGGATGGGCTACAGCTTGTACACCCTGCAGCTACATTCACCATCCTCTTTCTGAGTGTGCAGTTACCTCAGAGCAGCATATCTTTCTGAATTCTGTAACGTCATGGTATTCCAAAGAGGAATGAAACTGAACAGAACTAGGTACCTGAGATCAAAGGCTTTATCTGTCACAGACTCCCTCAACAGAATCCAGAACATCGACCACCACCTTGAGAATACCTACAATCATAGATGTCACCAGCATGTACAATAACATCCCACATCATGAAGGCACAGCTGCATGCCTGAAATACCTAAAAGCAGGGGAAATCCAGAGGGTGCAGTTGCACTCCCCTTTTGATTCCTGCTTCACAGAAACTTTAAAACCAACCACCTAGGAGGAGTAACAGCATTTGTATTCAGTCAGGCTGATGGAGTCAATTGACTTGATGGCTCATTGTCATCTACCTGATTCCTGCTAATCTCTCTCCACTCCACCAGTGTTAATGACCTTCTTTTTTATGGGTCTTGATGTTCCACTAATCAAACTGTCCCTTCTTCTGCCATTTTGCTGTCTGTGTTAGTCATTTCTGGTAATGTCTGCCTTCTATTTCACAGCCCTGCAGACTGATTTGAGTTCTAGTTAAAAACCTTCACCCAGGTGTAGTAATATTAACTTAGGTGTAGAAATCACTGACAGTGAAGTATTGGAGGCACTATCAAGATGGTTAAGAAGACCAGTTTTGCTTTACACATCTGATTAAAAGATGAAACTATGAAACTATATACAATAACTATACTGACTACAGGACTAATGCCACAATATCATTTGAGTATTTTTACTATTTTTTGCCTAGTTTGTTGCATTTTTTTCAACTTTATGTATACTCAAATTAGTGCATACACCAATAGTTATATTAGTTTTCCCTTAATCTTAAAACAGAATAACACAGCACTAGGACCCTAGCATATTAGTAAAGCTTCTGGTTTCTTTGTAACTGGAGAAAAAAATGTGTCACATTGTATGTGATGATGCACCACAACACCCAAACTGTCCTTTTCAAAATCCTAGATTTGCCTATGCCTACAGGAACATGAAATAACCTCCATGTGTACAATATGTTGCACAAATCATCCACTTTATTCTTACCCACAACAACTCCACGTTCAACAATGTGCACTTCCTCCAAACCATGGGCACAGCTATGAGCACAAAGATGACTCTTCAACATGCCAACCTCTTCATCAGCCACATGGAGGAAAAAAAATCTTGAAATCTTAACCATCAAACTGTTCTATACCTGTGTTACATAAGTGATATTTTAATTATCTGGACTGAACAGGTTTAACAACTATCACCCCTCAGTCAAACTTTCCTTTCCTTTCACTAACATCAACTTTCACTAACATCAAAATTCATAAGCTCTCTGGACATAAAAACCAAAGAATTAACACTGATTTTGGTTTTATGGCACATTAGAGTATAACAAGGACCCCTCTTACTTGGAGAAAGCTGGGAGACAAGCAGGGCCTTTGAGGGCCCTTTAAGAATAGTGTCTTTGTGGCTGGGGTTGTGGGGGTGCAAACAAAAACAACATAGGAAGTGAAGGTAGGGTTTCCACAGTCACTAACAGCCCTGCGGGAGATGTGCCAAAACTATGTAGAGTGGAATGGACCAATGGGAGAACCCTGGGCTTGTGCGGTGTAATAGGACAGACTGGCCAGAAATGGAGAAACTTATCAATATAAGAGGTGGGAGTGGTGGTATGGAGAGTTCTGGCATACAGGCAGAGAAGCCACCTTTTTGCTTTAAATTTGCTCAGGATGTGGATGATTTTGAGTTCAGCTTGATCTTTTTTTTTGTGACTACTTGGATGGACTGGGTCTTTTATTTTGCAGTGGTAGAGAGAGCAAATATTGCAGGACTGGTTTGTGGATGAAAGGGTGGTTAGGAGGCTACACAGGGGTATAAGGACAGGTGCTTGGGATTTTGAGCCCTGCAAAAGGGGCAATGATAAAAGATGAGGCCAAAGCTGAAAGGGATAGAGGCCTGACTGCTGGAATTGTAGTCCATGAAGGGCTGAACCCAGAAAGGGACCAGATGCCCAGGGACATGCTGTGACTTTAAGGGTTCAAGCCTGAACCCAGAGACAAAACAACAAAGGGGGCAGGCTGTGACTGATAGCACCTGAGTCAGAACCGCTGTGGCACAGGGAGCACAGCTGGGTCTGAGAATCCAGGCTGGAGCAAGTGGACCTAGGCTTAGAAGTCCATAGGTAGAGCAACCAGTGGGCTGGTACTTAGTGTGAGAGTAATATCTTCAAGGCCTGGGTATGGCCACAGGGGAGACAGGAGGCCACAAACACATCCTATAAGGTGACTGTTGCCTTGATGCACTGATATGGTCAACCAGGCCATCATTTAGTGCCTGAGGGACAACACTGGCACTGGTTGGGCATGAGGAGGGTCAGCTAGCTGAAAAACTGAAGTGCACTTTGGGACCTTAGGGGTAGCCCCTTGTACACTATAAGTTACATCAAGACATGGCACGTGAGAAAAAAGTGGAGGGTACCTCAAGGAGCCAGAGAGGAGCAGGAGCCATGTGGCCATGGGGAGGCATCATGGCCACCCTGGGGCCTGGTCCTACTACATAGTCTACCTGACTCCTAAATTCTTTTTACACATCCAAGGTGACTCTCTTCTCCTTTGATAGGCCTTGGTCTCCCACTAATTAGCTTCTTTTCTTCTGCTAATTGTACATCTGGTACCTCTGGCAATTTTCCTTTTCTTCCTCTCACTACTGTTTTTTACCACACTGTGCCTGTCTTGTACTGGTCAGATTTAGGGAAATGTGGCCTGGAAAACCTACTATAAGATGGATAGACAACTAGCTCAATTGCTGCAAGCAAAGGGTAATTATAAACGGAGCCATGTCAGAATCACAGGAGGTTTCAAGTGGAGCCTTTATTAATCTGGAAAAGAACAGAAATCAGGGAGTCAGTCACTGGCTGGGATTCCTTGTTATGCAGAAATACGTCTGATTGTTATGGTCAGTCAGGACCTATACAGGGTGTTGAGTTCTCTCCAAATGGAAGCACCACTCTCTGAAGGCCTTCTTGATGGCCAATAGTTACTATTCCCAGATATCATAGTTGATCTAAATAAGGGTCATATTTTGGGCCTTGAAAGCACATGAGTGCAGCAGTTTTCTAAGTCCCTGCAAGTTTCATCCACATCGGACAAAAAACAACCAAGGTATAGATATTTCATTGATTCCGCATTATACCCTACGGCAGCTCTGAAGCTTTGGAGTCACTTTGGCCGAATCAAGGCAGAAACCCAGTCCGGAGCTCTGGATTGGATCCCTGGCATCTGAAGCAGCCAGATCCGAAGCTGGATTGGATGACTGCTGACTTCCAGAGGCCTACTGTAAAGCTGGCAAGTTAGTAATACAAAAGTCCTCACCTTCAGGAAAGGTGACTTTGACAAGCTCAGGAGGCTTGTCAGTGAGGCCCTGAAGGGCCACAACCCAAAGGGGAGGGGAGTTCAGGACGAGTGGTTGCTCCTCAAGGGAGCAATCCTGGATGCGCAAGCAAAATCTATCCTGTCTCGAAGGAAAGGCAGCAAAAGGGCACAGCAGCCCCCTTGGCTCTCCAGGGAACTAGCAGACTGCCTGCATCTTAAAAGGAAGACCTATAAAGGATGAAGGACTGGAACCACCACCAAGGAGGAATACTTTGCTCTGGTCCGGACCTGCGGGGAGCAAACCAGGAAAGCCAAGGCTGCGACAGAACTCCAGCTAGCTACAAATATCAAGGACAATAAAAAGTCCTTTTTTAGATATGTGGCGAGCCGGAGGAAAAGCCAGGGCAACATTGGACCCCTGCTAAA